TTTGTTCCCGTGTGTGTGCGTGATCTATACTTGGGTTGGTATAGGCAACGAACCCCTCCTAGGCTGACATTATATGACAATATAGATGTCTGAAGGCACTATACCCCAAGTCTAGCGCAGTAATAAACCACACATTCGAAGGGGAATCGTTTTGTCTTCAAGGATGGTCTGGTTTTTTTTGAGTTATTATCAATTCTTGCACCGATTCCTGATTTCATTTCAGATCATAAACCTGATTTAAAGACACTCTTTACTGCACTATGAATTCTTATGCGTTGCTCGTGACTCAAATTTATTCCCCTTCCAAACTGTCATTCGTTGTGCCATTTTTATATTTTTGGCGTTGGCTGTGCTCTTTTATACCACTGACCGTTCGAATAGACACCCTCTGATCTATATATAGGCACCTTTTGTTCTATTAATAGACACCCTCTTTTCTATTTATAGACACCCTCTGTCCTGATGAGTGAATTCGATGCGGAGAACAAAGTCAAGATTGCCATGATTGCTACAATGGACGAACAGCACTCCACAGGCACAACTCCCAACAGAGGCAAAGCACGTCTGTCATCAGCCATCAAGTATGCTGTGTCTGTCTATCTGTCTGTGCCTGTGTCTGTCTGTGTGTCTGTGTGTCTGTCTGTGTCTGTGTCTGTGTGTCTGTGTCACAACTCCCAACAGAGGCAAAGCACGTCTGTCATCAGCCATCAAGTATGCTGTGCCTGTCTGTCTATCTGTCTGTGCCTGTGTCTGTCTGTGTGTCTGTCTGTGCCTGTGTCTGTGTGTCTGAACACAACTCCCAACAGAGGCAAAGCACGCCTGTCATCAGCCATCAAATATGTTGTGTCTGTATGTGTCTGTCTGTCTGTCTGTCTGTCTGTATGTCTGTCTGTTTGTGTCTGTGTGTGTATGTATGTGTGTGTGTTTGTGCGTGCTTGTTTGTGTATATGTCTGTTAGTGCGTGTTTGTGTGTGTATGAGTGTGTATATGTGCTATTTATAAAATTGTGTTTGTGTGTATGCATGTGGGCATGGGGTTTTTTCTGTTTGTGTCTGTACCTGTGTCTCTACGTGTGCGTGTACATGTGCGTGTGTGTGTGTGTGTGTGTGTGCTTTTCGGTAGGTATGTTGTGTGCGTGGGTGTACTTTTACGGCACCACCACTCCTAAATACACCTCACAGTACTACAAATTCAACATATTTATATACAGATATATATCGCATATATTACACTGCGTATACCATACTTTACCTTGTGTTCGCCAGTGATACCCAATACGTTACACGGTAACTGTCTCTAACGAACGGTCGCTACACCACGACAGAGCACCTAACCCATCGAAAAGGGGACATGACGAGACCACCAGCACTCCCAAACGCACCCCACGATCAGCCAAACGATACGAACGGGAAAACCGAGACACGCTGGAATCACCGCTCATAGAACGGTAAGTGGTACCGCACGAACTAAGCTATGGGATATAATGAGTGTACACATAGGTGTGTATGTGTGAATAGATATACTGTCGAGATTTGGGATGTGTGTGTGTAGACAGACAGGTATGGGTGTATTTATGAATACGTATACTGTTCAGGTATGAGATGTATGTAAACACAAATAGGTATGTAAATGCTTGTGCACAAATTAGTCGTCTCTGAACTCCTGGAAATGCACCATGGAGTATACAAGGTTGCTTCGGGTGCATGAACATGTACTTACTCGCTCGCCTCAAACTTCGCCCTGCTTCATGTACGCGTCGAAAGGGCACGTGATTGGGTGAATTGTGTTGACGTCAGTGGGTCAATTGTGTTGACGTCATTGGGTCAATTTTATTGACGTCATTTAATCAATTGTGTTGACGTCATTGGATCAATTGTGTTGACGTCATTCCCCATCCTTGAGCTTCGAGGCGTGTTCTTCAAAGGCCCATTTGTTTGTGACATATCAGATGTTTCCAATCCTAAACGTGTTGGTGCCCCTGGTTGGAAGGTACATTCCAATTTGGACATTAAATGGCGGTGCACATTCTAAGTTCAAAGTAAAGCGGGATGTAGATTTCAAATCCGAATTTAAATTAAGGAATATATTCCAAATTGATTCTTCGCACTGCACGGCTTTTGAGGTCTGAATATATATATGGGCGATATTACCGCAACGTATCAGTGATTCATAAAGCCAATTCTGTTGCTAATTCGGAATACGTGTTCCGATTTCTCCTCGCATTGCAGCAATCGATGTGCTATCGTATTGCTCAACCCGCACTGTAAAAATTTATCGATAATTCTTATTCCTGATTCTGTTATTAATTTGGGGTGTATTGTGCCAATTTTCTTTGTGGCTGGTGTGTGCTTGCAGCATTCGGAGTCTTAATAAAGTGCCTGGGCGAGAAGACCGCAATTCACTCGACAACAGCGAGAACATCGAACCCAGCACATTGAACTTCAACCAGTTTGCCAGTCCAATGAGGAAACCACAAACGCCTATGAACGCAGCCAAGGCAAGGTGGGCAATTGCATAGGATATGGTGTAGGATTGTCTGTGTCTGTGCAATTCCTTAGGATATGTGTAGCATTGTCTGTGTCTGTGTCTGTGCAATTCCTTAGGATATGCGTAGAATTGTCTGTGTCTGTGTCTATGCAATTGCTTAGGATATGGTGTAGTGTCTTAGTTCAAGCTTTCGTTCACGAACTTCAGAGACGTGTATAGCAGTTTTTTATCTGTGCATGTGTCTGAAAGTGTACAGTGCTGTATTCAAACATCATACGCAGTTCGAATGGAGGGTGCTCGTCTCCGCACAGGAAACACTCTGCAATTCCATACATGCTGACATGGACATGAAACTGTAGCCAAAATTGAAAGTATGTAGAAGACATACACGACCCAGTTTTTTTCTATGTAGGGACAGTATGCTGGTTACTTCAGACGTGCCTTGGACTTACTTGTGCGTATTGTGTGGAGAGTAACGAATTGCATTGCGCGCAACATCCTCAACTTAGACCTCGCCATTGTTACGAGAGAGAAATTGCTATGTCCATAGCCACACTATAGGGTAGTATGGTTTAATATTGAGACCATGCTATAAGGTGGTGTGGTTAAATATTGAGATCACACTATAAGGTGTATGGTTTAATATCGAGACCACGCTATAAGGTGGTATGGTTTAACATTGAGACCACACTATAAGGTGGTATGGTTTACTATTCAGATCACACTATAACGTGGTCTGGTTTAATCTTGAGACCACACTATAAGGTGGTATGGTTTAATATTGAGACAACACTATAAGGTGGTATGGTTTAATATTGAGTTGTAGACATGCTGTTAAGGAGGAGATCTCTCATATTGTACACGCAGCTGTACCTCATTCGGAGCATGTGTACTGAATCTGTGTACGTGGTGGTGTTTGTGCATTCCTATCTCCATAAATTAAAAACGCAGCCATAATATATAATTAGATTGAAGTATTCAGTAGTCGAGTATTAGAATACATAACTTTAACAACTTCTTAACCCACATGTGACCAATATTGACAATTTCATATACATGTGTCATGCCTAACGTTTTGCCTATTTATATCGATATCACCACTGCGATGGACATCACCCTTCGCACATACACAAATGCTGCACGTATATGCAGGCTAACATTTGCAACTCACACCGGAGTCTTAGTGTGACTATCACTATGCATGAGACAAATCACCCCCTCACAAACTATATGCTAATACATACGTTCACATATCCTCCTTCACCTGTGCGTTCCGTCACCTTCTCTTGCTAGCCTGAGGTTGTCAGAGGGCACAGTCGCCCTACCGACCGATGACTTCAAGGCTCCCACGTACGTTGAGTGTGTCTTATGTTATCATTGTGTCATACACTTCACATGGCTGATATCTATGACTTAAGCCTAATTTTTTATCTATGTATATATATATCTTTATATATATATATATATATATGTGTGTGTGTGCATGTGTATGTGTATGTATGTAAGTATATATATATATATATATATATATATATATATGCATATATGTATTATTTTCTATTGTATAACGT